GCCGTCTGAACTGCCAAACCTGCAGCAGAAGTAGCCAAGTAATTAAATGAGAACACATGGAGCGCAGGAAGTCTGCGTGCAGTTGGGGTCCGCAGCTTGCTTTTCCTAAGGCTGTGAAAGGCCAAGCATCTCTAGATGGTCCCTTCCAACCCCTACAACTCTGTGAATCTGTTGTAGCACAGACAGAGGTTTATCACAGAAACATGCTCTGGGTGAATTCACATCTAGCACAGGTGCAGGACTCATGCATTGGCTAAGAAGGATTTGAAATTACTTTCAACATCATACCACAGATAATCTAAAGTCTAGAACCCCATGATGGGTTCAACACAAAGGTATTGACTCCCCACACAAACTGACTGGGTATCTACTGCAAGGAATTCCCTCTGGCTTTAGGGAATCCTCCTGGTTTTCTGTGCTGTACCAAACAGTACTCTGGCTAATGACAGCGACCTGTCTGCTTCCCGAAGAAGTCTACAAATTTCCTTCTTGCACCCCCAGCAATCCTGCTGCCTGAAGAGGACAAGGATGCTGGGGAGGTGCTGCCATTTAGGTAGCATCAGGAAAATGGAAACACTTGGCATGTTTCTCCACTGGATGGGGAAATCTGCTTCCAAAAGCACACTCCCAGCCAAAGAGAGCTTCCTTTGCTGAAAGCTCTGGGCTGGCTTGCAGCTGAAGGCGTATTTATTATGGGCACCTGCGGATGAGTCTGTAGGAAGATGCACTAGGAAAGCTTTTGGGCCGGATCTAAAGAAAAACAAGCAGGCAAGGAGCCCGGCTATGCCGGTTTGGGTGTGCTCCTGAAGCAGAGGCCAGGCTGCAGCAGGATACGTAATTCACACCCACCAGACTGCAACACCAGCAAGGAAACTAAAGCCACTTTGCAAAGTCTCAGGTACGAGATTTGTGGGCAAGGCAACCAAGTACCGCGTGACTGTAGGCTGGACAAGGATGATGAGTTTAAACTGGAAGAGGGAGATTTAGACTGGACATCAGGAAGAAATTCTTCCTGGAGAGGGTGGGGAGGCACTGGGACAGGTTGCCAGAGTTTCTGTGTTCCCCAGACCAGAAACCACCACTCTCTCAAGTAACTGGCAACCTCACTGCAGTAAAAGGACCGAGACCATCACCAGTGCCTCCTCCCCTTCCCCCAGAAAACATGCGGACGTGCAGTTTGGCTGTGTCCCATCTGTGGATCCACATGAGGCTCGAGCATCAGCCTGGAAGTTTTCACCAGTCAAATAAACCCAAACTGAAACCAACTTCACCACCACCAGCTATTTTTAATGCGCATACTACCCAGAAACAACTCGGGCAGCCATGGAGTGGAAAGATGCCGAGACCATGTTTGTTGTTCACATTCACATCTCTCAGCTGTCATATTCCACAGCCTGATACAGCATTTCTCCATTATGCTCCAAAAATGCTTTTTATTAGCAATCCCTAGAAGGGGCTGCTGAAGTGAGTTAGAGCAGTTAAAGCATTATGAGATATCAGCTGAAGTTGGACGTGGCAACCCCTCAGAGCTGGGTGGGTAACACCACCCACCTGTACCAGGGAAGACAGAGCCTTGCTCCTCATCCTTACCTCTTATTCCTCCCACCACCTCCTAAGGGTACCCAGGAATATATGTAGATTGGCAACACAAATGCCATGCTGAACCAAGCCCTTGGGATTCTCTTTTTCCAAGACAGCGTAGGAAACGCGACTTGGAGTGTAGCGCTCCCTTACCTGCTGATGCAGTAGAAAGCGACGAGCCTGAATAAATCAGCAAAACTTATCCCAGAGCCCTCCAAGGAAAACGCTGAAAGAACATTACAAGAAGGAAAGAATCACACATCTGCCCACCACCTCTCAGTCTCAGCAAAGTTTAATAAAGTGCGTCTCACTTTTTAGCATAAAAATCCTGTTTGCACCACCAAAGAGTTACCATCTGGTTAAGAGAGCACAGTCCTGTGGAGGAGCACACGGCTCTGATGAATGCATTTGCAAGAATACATGGATAGTCCTGCTGGTGGGTTTAGTTCCCTGTGCCAAACATGCAGTGTAACTCCTGGGAAACAGATCAAGTGTGATGGGAATTGCCCTAGGTTTTGCTAACAGACAATAAATCAGTGTTGCAAACTTTTTTTGCCCAGCGTTCTAATATCCCATTCCAAACCTCTCATTTTCTCCTCCTGCATTCCATATCCCCACTTGTCTTCTCCCCAGATGTCAGCACCTAATGGGAGAGGATACATTTTCACTTGCTTCCAGAACACCACGTAACCTGAAAACCCTTTAACACCCAGACACTTCTGCTTTGTGCTGCTGCATTGCGCAGTGGGGGAGGAAGGTGCCAGCAGTGCCTTTCAGTTCTCCCTGCTCCACACCCCTAAACCATCCCAGACATGAACACTGCTCCCTTGTGCCCTCAGACAGCTACAGGGGAGTGACCAGGTAGGCTGCGGCTGCTCCAGCCCACCCTGAACTCAGAAAGCCCAGTGACAGGGTGAATTCCGGACAGAGCGGTGTTCCACTTGCGGCACTGTAGCCGTGTCCGGGCTGAGACCGGCAGACTCCCAGGGTTGGTGGGAAAGCCAAGAGCCATGCGGCAGCTTTGGATACATCAGTAATGCCTCTCAGCGTGTAGCAACGGTGGAAGTTGTGAGTACTCCGTGCCACAAGGCCGGCTCCCCCAGGCAGGATGCCCATGCTACTGGCTACCAAGCCTGCACCTCAGCCAGAGGAAAACTCCAGTCGGGCGCTGGACTTCTATCCAAGCTCTGTGCCGAAGGACAAGTCCCCCTAGTCCTTCAGGTGCCTGGAAGAAGGGATTTCTTTAGGAGAGACGCTACCAGCCTGGACAGTCAGCACACAGGGGGATCCCTGGCTACAAGTAAAACCTCAGCAACGACTAGCAAGTACAAACATCAGTTGGTACCTCCCCCTTGTGGTGAAAATCTTACTCATAACAGACAAAATATTAATACTCGATTTTCTAGAGTGGGGGAGAGGGTGTTCTTCAGTACAACGAGCCTACAGCCTCAGATCCCACAGATCACGGACAGCTCTTTTCTGCCATGCCTTGTTGGTAACTGGAACCAAAACCACACACAGAATTAACTATTTATTGCGGGGGGCAGGGATGGGGGAGGGAAAGGGAAACCTGGGCTAAAACGATCTGTTTCCTAGCAGAAAATCCCTACGCCTCAAACGTACCTTGCACATCTTCTCTGAGGGGACAGGAGCAGTGTCATTTGGGAACTGATGGATCTCTACAATTCCCTCATTTCTACTCAAACCCAAGGAACAAATATAGTTGTAATTGAAAAGGGTTAAAATCCATCTAGTTATTATGTTAAAATCCCCCAAGTATGAGGAAATGCAGGGACACTTCACGGAGAGCAGACGGGATTACAGACAGTGTTTCTATGGAAGAAGAAAGTTACACATAATACTCAGTGAACCCTGGATTCAGCAAGGTACACAGAAGAAATATTCCAAGTTGCGTCCAGCACTTATGCGCTTCTGCAGCTCTTCCCTTCTCCAGGATATGCCTGATGTGCTGCAGGCAGCTGCTGTGTGACTTGAGGTGTCTCCTGCTGCGGGTTTAACTGACACAGGGTGCCTCAGGCTCGCAGAGGGGGACACAGAGGGTGACACAGAGCCCAGAAGGATGTAACACAACTTACTGTACGTGCTTTCTTTGATCGCAAATTCTTTCAGGCAGGGGCCGCAGTCACCAGGCAGACGTAGGGAGATGACCTTCTTCTGCAACCCTGCAGATTTCCTAACCAGAAATATCTGCGGAGCAGAAGGCAAAGAGACATGGCTATAGCTTCATCGCAGACGCTGTATTAGAGATACATTATAGACAAACAGAACTGGCACAACTTCATCATCTCTGATCCATAGAAAACACGTCAGGATTTCACTCGGTCGTTATAGTACTGGGTACATGACTGGTGCAACACAGCAGCCTGAAGTTCAGCAGTGTCGCACCCTTGCATCCTTGTGTAACTCAGACACATGACCCCAAGGCACCCGTCTCTGAGCTCTCCCATGGAACAGTCAGCAAATCCCAAACCTGAAGTCAAGCTGCAGGTTCTGAGGGAGACGGATGGGGCAGTGCTCATGGCCACCAGGACAATCCTGCACCCTTTGGCACCGGGTGGCAGCAGCATCAGAAAGGGGCATCAGCCTCCCTTGAGCAGGGAGGGGCTGATTCCCATGGCAGCAGCTGTGCCGCATGCACCAGTGAAGGACACAACGCTGACACAGGGCTGGAGCACCCCTGCCATGGGGACAAGCTGGGAGAGTTGGGGGGTTTACCCTGGAGAAGGGAAGGCTCCGGGGGAGACCTCAGAGCCCCTTCTAGTGCCTGGGGGGGCTACAAGAAAGCTGGGGTGGGGGGACACTTTTCCCAAGGGCAGGGAGTGACAGGACAAGGGGTAGCGGGTTTAA